TTTTATTCTTGTTACAAAGAAATATAGGCACTATTTAGACTTTTCTATGGAAATGCAACATACGTACAATACATATTTTATTAATTTTATATGAAAATACAACATTTTATAGATTTGTTTAAATGTTAAATATATATATAGAATCTCCCATGATATATGGTTGAATATGATTTTTATCCAACAAGTTGTGTATTTTTTTTTTATCCCTGAGCCTTGGCGAGGGGATAAAAACACACAAGTTGGATAACAATCATATCCAACCACAAATCACGGGACATTCCTTTTATCAAATATCAAAAAAATATCCAATAAGTGATATCCACGGGATAAAGGAGTAAACATGGGATGAAAACCATTCGTTTTAAAACAAATATTTTCTGCAATGTATTAAGGGATGTTGCTGAAAAATCTAATGAGGCAGTTGCCACAATTGGAGCTACTCCCCTGATATTATTATTTTTATCATCTGTAAAATGCATTCAATAAGGAGTAGATCAGAAAAATTTACAATGAAAAGGATTCTGTATGTCCAGTGCCCAGATTGTGGCTCCATGAACAAAGTGTATTAACAGTGATTAAGGAAAGATGCTTTACCCAACAGACAATGTCAAAGGTCGGGGAGTATTTGATATTAATGTCAAGGTTGCTACAGGTTATTGAATATAATTTATAAGGATATATTTTTTTGTCATTATAGGACTAGAATGCATCATATGAAATGAAATTTTAGTTAATTATCAATAACAAAAAAATTTAGAAAGGGGCATACCACTGAGTCACTGAATTTTGTACATGAGTGCTTGCCTAGAAAAAGAATTACATGTACATATGTATATTTCTGCTTGCAGATTTGGATTTGATAACTATAGCCTACTTCTTCTTTCAAAATTATAAAGTCAATTGATTATAAGAACCTTTAGGTTGAAAACCTTTATTCCTTTTCTTTTAATTGCTCTAATAAATTTTTCTCAATTAGAGTACATGAATATTTTTAGTAAAGTAACTTTTTTATCCCTGATTTCTGTACAATATGATGACACAAACCTGGCACTAAGCAAGATAAGCATACCAGTTCTTATGATGTGTTAATTATAAATGTGCGTTATTGTTTACATGTAAAGTACACTGTATATATTATATATACATGCAGTATGCATTTCAATAATAAAATGAAATATTTGGAGATTATATTTCAAAAGTGTGGTGCATTCTGGAATGTGAGAAACACATTTCAATAATCTATTCTCCACCATGAATATATATACACTGTAGTCCTCATAAAACTGAAAAATCATAGATGTTGCATATTCATAAGTTTTATGCTTCCTTTGTTTTCATCCTGTATATGTATGTTATTGATAATGATTCAATTTAAGCAGCCTATATCTAGCTCTAAATCTGGTATATATCCTAATTGACATGACTCAGTCTGTAATACACATGTACTAGTTGAATATAATTAATATTTTATATATTGACTAGCCTTATAAAAATGTTCTTATGAAATTAAGTTGATTGAAATACTTATTTACATGCAACTTAGGAATTATTTATAAAGTATGCAGTGTGTTAAGGGGAATAAATTTTGCTTTAAAGCAATCTGATTGTTAGTCCCCTACAAGTGAAACCAGAGGGGACTATTGGTTTCCTCTTCGTCTGTCTGCCCATCTATCTGTCTGTCTGTTTAGTAGTCTAGCTGCCTCTCTGTCTGTCAGTCTGTCCCACTTGGTTTTCCGTACTTTTTTCTAAACGCTTGGAGATATTGAGCTCATTTTTGGTATGTGAATGTATCCTGATGAGTTATAGATCAAGTTTGCATTTGGTTTTGCTTCATTGATTTTTGACGGAACTATGACCTTTTAAATTTTTAATGGTTTTCCACAATTTTTTTAAAAGCTTGAACATATTGAGCTAATTTTTTTAATAAGACTTTAAATTAATTGATATATCAAGTTTGAATTTCATTCAGCTTCCTTGATTTTTGACTGAATTAGGACATTTTCAATGTTTCATGGGAACCAGATTTCACTTGCCAATAGGGGACTAGTATTGCTATGGCAATACTCACAGAATGCTCGTTTACCATCATTCTATTATTTCTATATTTTTTTATACCTGTTATATTTTTGTCATTATACATGATATTCAAAAGATGCATACATGCATTTTAATTTGATTCTATTCCTATATCAGTATGATCAGTGTTGCTGTATTTTCTACACAGTCTCATAACATATAAAATATACATGTATATTCTAGACATTCAAGATGTAAAGCCACTGTTTTATTAAAGTTTTTATTCCAACTTTCCTACAATTGGCCTTGACCTGTGGTCTTAAAATTTGGAAAGTTTATTGAAAAAATGTTTGCAAGCATGCATATTTCTCGAGATATATGATCATGCATTCTCTCTTGCAATGTATATAAAACATATGCAAGAATACCATCCGGTCATGTACTATAAATGCATATTATATTAATTATTATTATAATATACCCCCCCACAAAGTTTGGAGGTTATATAGGAATCACCTTGTCCATCTGTCCATTCGTCTAGCTGTCTGTGCATATATATCCGTTCCATATCTTTCTTACGGAGGAGCATTAGAATCTTCTACTTCACACAAAGATTGCTCATGACCTAAGGGTGTGTCATGTCCTTAACCGAAGGTCATGACCTGAGGGTGTGTCATGTCCTTAACCCAAGGTCATTTGGGCAAGTTCAAGGTCACTGAAAGAAAAAGTTCATAATTCGTGTCCGGTCCATATCTTTCTTTTGCAAAAACTTGAATCCAGGTCATTTGGGAAAGTTCAAGGTCAATGAAAGAAAAAGTTCATAATTTGTGTCTGGTCCATATCTTTCTTATGCAAAAACTTGAATCCAGGTCATTTATGCAAGTTCAAGGTCAATGAAAGAAAAAGTTCATAAATCCTGTCGGGTCCATATCTTTCTTATGGATAAACTTGGTGAGTTACCATTTTGCACAAAGATTGCTTATGACCTAAGGGTGTGTCAGGACTTTGATCCAAGGTCATTTGTGCAAGTTCAAGGTCACTGAAAGGAAAAATTCATAATTCGTGTTCGGTCCATATAATCAGTATTGATGTTCAATTAGGCTACGCCTTAGTTTCATTTATTAAAAATTTATAATGATCAATTACCAGTTAATGTTTAAACAAATTCTGAACACCAATCCTAGTATTAGTGACTTGGCACCTTCTCTGAAAAACCTAGCGGGGGTATAAGTCCACTTTGGACAGTTCTAGTTAATTTTATTTCATAACCTTGACCTTATAATTATGACCTTGAACATTAAATGAACTATTGTGATGACATAGGTGATTAAAACTAAAAGACAATTAAATGTAAGAAATTGATGGGTACACATTCTGCATTTATTATGAATTCATTCAAAACTTGCATTTCCTGATAAATCAGTATAACAGATAAACCAGTAAAAGTTTTTGAACTTTCGTCAATGATAAGAAAATTTAGTCCATAACACCCAATTTTTTTTTTATTTTTCAGAAGGTGAATATTTGAGGATGATTTGGTATAAATTTCAAATAAATCCTATGTTTGTGTCTTTTTTAATAGTAAAATGAAGAAGGTATTGTCCGTTTTCCCTATATAATCCTATGTAAAATTACACGTAGGACCAATAAAAATGACCATATTTTGAGCGCTGTTACCTGACATACTAGTCGGGGAATATTTTTCTTTTTTGGCACAGAGTTTACTTATGAACTGACAATTCACCATACAAAATTTTTCAAAAATCGTATGTTTGGAATTTACACCCACGAGACTCCTTAAATGAAGTTACAAAGCAAGCGACGCATGCATTCCTTGGAACACTCTAGTTGTTTTATACAGTTTTATAATGAAAAAATATGAATGTATGTCCCAACTGCATAACAGTTTAATATTAAAAATATGCAGAAATGGAGACATAACCTAATTTGTAAGGGAAATGTTTACATGTACTGTGAAATCACAAAATAAGAATTCGTCACAATACCAGAAAATGAAAGAATGTGCGATTTAAACTGCATAAGAGTAATGAACTACATCAAAACTTACCACTGCATTCATTTTTGTCGCTAGTAAAAAAACCCACATAGCGGATGATACGAGGGGCATTTGAAAAGTTCGGAGAACTGTTTGATAAAATATTAACCGTTTAAAGGAAATTCAGATATATTAAATTGAGGTTAATTATGGATCAAAATGGTTAAAATTGTAAACAACGGCAATGCAACTGTGTTCTGGCCTATATAATCTTTAATAAGATAACAAGAAATGCTGTCAAATGTATTTTTCTATGTAGATTTTTTTAAGTTGTGTTATACGTGAAAAAAATCATCATACATTTATTGCATGAATACTCTGGAAATATGAAGATTTATTCAGCCAAGAAAAATCATATTCTCCGAGGGCTTCGCCCGAGGGTAATATGATATTTCTTGGCTGATAAATCTTAATGTTTCAAGAACATCCATGAAATAAATTTTACCGAAACAAGCAAAAACCTTAAAAATAAACATATTCAAACTTTCAAATTCGACACCGCTCTTAAATTCACTTTCAATTTTAATGTAAAGTTATGGAAACAATTTACAAAAGTTTAATACACTCCGATGAAACAAGGCTATTGTGACGTCTACTACACTCGTGAGTTTTCGTTCAATGAACAATAACTATTGCTGGAAAATGTAGTAGGTCTCCGAAGATGTTGAATAAGATGAAAAGCATGACGACGACAGGGAAATATGAAGTTTTATGGTCCTTTCACGTGATAATCTGGAACCAATCAGATAACGCTTGTATAGAATAATTATAATGAGGTATAATAATATCGATTATGATGTCTGTTGGAAAACGTTATGACGTCAACAGCATTTATTTCCGACGTCATAATAGGCTACCATTAGCAAACGATTAGCAATGCCTCTATGATGTCACAATATATATATTCTCTTCCTTTGTAAAGCATGGTTTAGATTGTAAGATATGCCGTTTGGAAGTTGGTTAATACGTTGGATTAGTCGACCATTTCGGGGTTGTTTAGGAGAGTCAAGAAGAAAGGGCCTAAACATAGAAAATATACTTGTAAGTACTGATAAACTGAAACGGACGTTTTATGTATTCGTTAAAAACTGCATGAATGCAATCAAAATGAAATGTGACTGTGGTCCTTTCTACGCTTTAGAAGAAGATAGGGCTAGTATTTTTTAAATGGTATGAACATAATTTTGCATATATTCTATAAACAAATTTTTTTTTTTTAAAAAATCCATACTTTAAAAACTAACAAACGAACAAACAAAAAACAGCTATAGTGATTCTGAAATCAAACATTAAAACCTCAGTTCTCTTTGAAGAAGACAGTGCTTTTAATGTAGATATAAATTGTAGTTTAGTTACCCCGACATCTCTGACGAATCCGCATGCGCAAATCTCCTTTCGTAAATATCCAAACTTGGTAGATTTTATATGCGATAAAAATCCAGAGTTAACGTTGACTGCAAGTTTCTACTTCGGAATTGTGTCTCGTGTATAATGCATGAACATGATCCACAAATATATTATATCATTAAACTTAGAGAGGCTTTTATCTATATAGCTTGAAACTAAATGTCTTCCTATGCCAAATTAATATTTAGCATCGCTTTATGGCCCCTTACTTGTAGGACCTCCGAACTTGTAGCATTACTATGCAACCCTCATATTAGATCTATATCAATGATTTTTTCTTCAAATAAAAAATAATATATATAATTATATATATACTTTACAGAGAGACAATGACAGGGTTATGTTTGTGGAGAACGGTCATGGCAGAAAGGGCATATTAATTTTCAGACAAAAAGTAACAAAGAGCGGAACTGGTTTAATCTACGCAGGCGTAAGCTTCGTCGACCAACTTCCTGTTGTCTTTAAGGTGGTCAAGAAAAAGTATCGCAATCTGCTTTTGAAGGAATATATGATCATGAGGTCCGTGTGGCATAGAAATGTTTTGCCGGTCTGGGAAATCGACTTCAGCATCAAAGGAGATCTTGTCATTATGCGGATGGATGGTGCGTATTATCGGGACTTGTACTCGTATATAAGTGCAATGAAAGGGTATGTAACAAGGGCCCTGTTAGATAAGTGGATGAAAGAACTAGTCTCTGGTATGTGTCACGTGCACAGTAAAGGGTACGTCCATGGTGACCTTAATTACAAGAATGTATTACTGACCAAAGATTTATCAATTAGAGTCGCTGATTTCGGATCCGCCGATAAGAAGTCCAAATTTAAGTTAACCCGATATGATCCACAATTTCTTCCTCCTGAACTCAACCCTTGGAGATTAGAGCCGATTCCATATGAGTACGACCCCCGCCTTATTGATATATGGGGTGTCGGGGTTGTGTTGTTTTTCGCCTTGACCAAACATCACCCGTTCACAGAAATTATAACTATGTCTTCCACTGATATTCACGGGAATTGTCCCGGAGAAACGCTAATTTATGAAGATGACCGGAAGCGTTGTAGTCCCTCTTACGCCAAAGTAGTCGGAAAGCTCATGGATTACAATGCCGCTCGGCGCCCTAAACTTAATTATATAATTGAGCAAAACTATTTCAATGAAACACAGACTTAGGGTCATTTTGATGTCGAACGGTTTTATCAAATGTTGAGTTAAAGAAAGCTTTAATTAATTTTTAAACTGAAGCAGTTAAAATACCCTATTTCTGAATCGACAAATATAAATCCTCATCCATAATCATAACAGATGCAGATATAATTTTTTTAGGAGAGAAGGATGGACGGAAGAAATAAAAAACATCCCTTCCAAATCCATCCCCCGTTAAACATCAACGTAAACTGTTCTCACTAGTGATGCTTTCAATCTTATTAAAAACAAGCATTAAAATCAATTATCATTTTTCTCATTTTTCGTCATTTTTTCCTTATCTTTTACGAAACATTAATAATGGGACACCCTTTTCATCATTAAAATGGACAAAGCTCCAATTGATATTGCATCAAATGGTTTTGAAATCTGAAAGACTGAGAATATGGTTCGGTTAAAACAACAGTCCTAAATCTTCTTACAGTTCACCCTCGTTCTCACACCAGTCCGATAATTTTGTACAGCTCACATTTCTAACAAAACTTTTTAGGAACATTTTTGTATTAATCAATTGTTTGTTGATTTCATTTTAAGTTTTCAAGTCAGAAGGTTTTCAGATAAAAGCAAAATTTCAATCATTTGCAAAAAAACTTTATTGAAAAAAAAATGTAAATGGAATGCGTCAATATAAAATTAAAACGACCATAAAGTAACATGATAAGTCACTTCCTTGTATAATAAAAACAATACATTTAACAATTTTAACTTACTTGTAATTATATTTGTAAATATTCAGATTATATAATGACTCAAATGAACTGGATACGTGTGTTACACCAAGTTCATTTTAAATTTGACAAAAAATAATATTCTTTTCCAAAACCAGTTTCATGTTCATGTATAAATTTGATAAAGATTTCATGTTTAATGCGTACTATTTTTTCACAGTTTCGTTTCTATTGGCAAAAATCTATCCACAAGTATAGAAACATTGCTTCATGAAATTTTGCACTTCATCACCAAGATAAAGAAGGGAAAAAAGTAAATGAAAAAGAAAAGAAAAGAAAAAATTCAAAATAATTTAAGGGCATAAGGGTATTTTAAAGTATAAGAGGAGGGGGGGGGGGGGGGGGTGTTCAACACTAGAAATAAACATTTACAATATTGCATGCTATCTTAGGGTCACTCCACAGTATATAGCTAACATACATGTAGTTTAATTCAGATGTGTGGATTAATTTGCATTGAATCCACATTAGATTAACACACTCCAGTAAATTAAAACAGAAAACCGAATTGTAGTGTCATTATTTCACTTTATAACGACCTACAAATCTGTTAGCCCCTGACAAAACTGCTGCACATGTTGGCTAAGTCAATCCAGGTGAAGTTGACCTGTTATAACAGTCCTTAGAGTAAACAGCCCCCAGTCGAAAATTCATTCATTTACAAAGAATGGCAAAGTACTCATGTACATGTAAGTAAAACTGAAATGTTTCAGACAATTACTGAACTTATTACTACTGACAAATCTCACACAACATTCAATCATTCAAGGACACGTGTTAAACAAGTGTGATTTAAACATGTGTCAAAATAAAACAACCAATCAATTTAAAAAAGACATAATGCAACAGTTCTGTAATTATTGTAAGATAACTGTATAGATATGTATTTAATTCTGACAAAAATTAAATTTCTTCAATATTTAAGACAATTTTTGAAGGATATTCATTTGCAATGAAAAAAAATGAAAAGGTTTTGATGCAAATATAGTCAAACTTAATGCTACACGTGGTATAATAAGTATTCAAGTCACGTATTTTTCAAAGTGAAAGACAAAATTTAAATGGTATTCTGAGAATTTAAAAAAAAATCCTGATTCCATATGCTAGATGCTGAAAGACTTGATGACATGCTGCACATCTTCACAAAACGGGTCTCCGCTCTTCTCGCTGATTTCAAGCCTAAAATTGATGAACATATTGTGATCAAAGCATTCCATAGGTCACAACTTCTACAATATTTCCTGGAACTTGTGTAAAAATGAAGTGTTTGGTTGACTATCTTTGCATAAAATACACACAGTCTTTATAAGAGTTTGGTCCTCAAATAAGGTAGATGACAAACTTTTTTCTCATTTAAAAAAAAAACCAAAACATTATACCGTTTACCACTGCTTCAGTACACACCACTTTTTACAGGCAATGATTGGCCACAGTTTAAGTACAAACCACTTTTTACAGGCAGTGATTGGTCACAGTTTAAGTACAAACCACTTTTTACAGGCAATGACGAGCCACTGTTTTAGTACATACCACTTTTTACAGGCAATGATGAGCCAACGTTTTGCATCCTGTAGGCCATAATGATCCAAAGACCGTACCAACTTCTTTAAGTAATCTTTCTTCAGAGTAGATTTTTCACGTCCCATGATGAACAACTGACATAAAAATATAATGATTGAGTGAGCACATTTTTGATAGCTCTTGCTTAAATCCTGAATGGAACAAAGAATAATTCTCCTCCAAATATTGTGTAATGTGAAGGAATAAATTTGACGGAACTGAATTTTTAACTATTGATTTGAAATAATGACCATGTAATTGATAGTTTACATCTGTTTTTTTTTTTAAAAGACAGAGCAGAAAAATATGACATGCTTCCTATATAAAATTCTTTTGATACCAAAAGAAGTCTCAGGGCCCATGGCATAAAAATAGGTTAACAAATTACAGGAAAATACATTAACTGAATAATTCAGTCGTTAATTTCCATAGATATCTGTTTGCTACATCAACAAAACATTCTAATAATTTTTTTTTATCTTTGGATTCAGGCTCTGAAAATAATTTACTGGAATTATTCAACATTCTAAAGCACAACTTTACTTCAAAATACGTGCCTTTTGAATCGGTCAGCTGCATTAAATCCACATTTATTTGAATTTCTTAAAATTTTGAATCTAGCTGAATATACAGCTGTTATGTGTTAGAGAGAATTATTCCCCTTGTTTTCTTTGGCCTATTTTTGCTTTTACGGAAGATTTCTGTCTTGGGAAGTAATTCGAAAATGACATATTCCAAGTTAAACCAATCATCTCATATTTTCAGCTCTAAACCTAATTTTTTATGTTCACCGACACGTCACCAATTCCAACACTGTAAAAATAACGTTAATCATCTTACCTTTAACATCTTCTCATCTGGAGATTTATAATTGTTACTAGACATGACTCTTTCTATCTCTTTTTGAGTCAATCCAAGTGGCTCCAAAATCTCCGTCTGACATTTAGTCATGTCCACCAGCAATACCAGGAACTGGTCCGAGAGTGGGGGTGGATAATCTACACAGAAACAAATACTAGTGTCAATACTCTCGCCTTCCTGGTATGTTTCATTGTTCTTTTCCTATTTTTTTAAAACTGGAATCATATCTATGTGGTAAAACAATAGTTAAGTAAAAAGTGAAGCAAGATGTATGTAAACGTACAACACATGCACGATGTATGAAGAACATATAATAGATGTTTTAATCGGTTATTTACATATCATTTTTTTTCTCTGGACGAATCACATTTACGTTACAAAAATTACATTAAACAGCATGTATAATAAATTTACTTTAAAAATTCACCATACCTCCTGGATTCATTAAATCGGAGTTATTGAAAGCTTTCAATACCCATCTGTAAAACTTTGATTTTTTGTTTTCCTCCACGGTAGTCCTAAAATGTTAAACTTTGGCCATAAAAAATCATGCTTGTATTAATATTTTGGTTGTTTCTTTTTAATAAAAATCATAGAATATAGGCAGCATTAATATTAACATACATTTCCAAATTATATGCGTGAAAATATATGTATAACAAACGGTTTGTCAGAAAAAAATGACGTTTTTCCCTTAATCATCGTAGAGATATTTTTTGTCTTTTTTTTATGTTTTAGACATAATTAGTTGAAATGGAGATAATAAAGGCAACATGATTAAGTATTATTTACCTCATTTAAATTATTCTACAAAACGCGTTATCTGATTGGTTCTATACAGTCACGTGACAGAGAAATAAAACTTCATATTTCCCTGCCGTCTTTTCACATTTCCCTGTCGGTGGTTTTTTTTTCTTTCTTTCTTTTTTTTTCTTTTTAAATCATTATACCTGCAATACTTATTGCTCATACTCATGGTAATTTTTTTTTATTATTTATTTGTGATTAAAACAATTATTGTGTTCAAATTTTGATATGAATTGTATTTTTTATGACTTGCTTCATGTTGTAGAAAATAACAGCAGGTTGATACTGCAGCCTGGTATTGTTTCGGTGTAATAAACAATTTAATGCATGATTGATTGATTGATTGTATATTGTTTTACGTCCCATTCGAGAATTTTTCACTCATATAGAGACGTCACCATATACCGGTGAAGGGCTTCAAATTTTGACCTTTACTCGGCATTCAGGGCCATTGAGCATTGAGGGATCTTTATCGTGCCAACGCCTGCCGTGACACGGGGCCTCGGTTTTTAAGGTCTCATCCGAAGGACCCGCAACTTTCACTTCAAAGTGCCGAGCGCACGGCGAAGGAACAGTTGCTACCTATTTTTTATCGACTTAGGTCTGTCGCGGCCGAGATTCGAACTCACGACCTCCCGATCACGGAGCGAGCGCTCTACCGACTGAGCTACCGTGAACGGTATTTAATGCATGAATACCAGGAGATATGAAGATCTATTCACTCAAGAAAAAAACTCGTACTTCCCCCGGGCGTTGCCCTCGCATCGGGGAATATGATTTTTGTTTGGGTGAATATATCCTCATATCTCCCTCACTATATCATGCAATATATGTACTATTATAACTACTAGTATCTAAATAATATTTACCAGTCTTTAATATATATTCACTGGTGTTTAAGTAACATTTATCAGTCTCCTTTTTTTATTTACCAATCTCTAAGTAATATTTATCAGTCTCTAAGTAATATTTACTAGTCTCTAAGTTATGTTTACCAGTCTCTAAGCTATATTCACCAGTCTCTAAGTTATATTTACCAGTCTCTAAGTAATATTTACCAGTCTCTAAGTTATATTTACCAGTCTATAAGTAATATTTACCGGGCTCTTAGTTATAATCACAAGTCTTTGAGTTATATTTACCAGTCCCTAAGTTATATTTACCAGTCTCTAAGTAATATTTACTAGTCTCTAAGTTATGTTTACCAGTCTCTAAGCTATATTCACCAGTCTCCAGGGATAGACATTAACTTTCAGATTCACTTGCCCTTCGGGCAGGTGAACTCAAAATTTGACTTGTCCGAACGCAAGCCTTAGTTGCCCAAAATTAGGAAAGAACTGAACATTATTTATTACTGTAAACGTTATGATAAGAAAAAAATGTGACCAAATACACTACTGTCAATTTAGCAAGTTGAGCTACCTGAAAAAAATTCGATGATGCATTTGTTAATAAATGTATACCACTGAACTTGTAAATTTAACCTGTTAGCACACCCTGCCATGCAGCAATAACCCTCCGTTTCCTTTTTATAAAATTCATATTTATTCTTAAAAATTATTTTCCGTAGGATCCTTTTGTGAATCGTGATTTTCAGAAATAACTGTGAAGCAAAGCTAAAGGAAGATAATTGCTACGAAACATACATTTTATCTTGATTAGGATACATTGTGTTACACTGTACTTATGATCTGTGCATGAATAAATAATTTAATTTCCTAGTAAGAAGTTAACAAAATTTTGTTAGACGTAGAGCGTATTTACTAAGAAAGAAAATAACGAGCCCGATTTTTAAATGAACGATATAATCTAGAAACGCTAGCAAGGAATTCCGAATGCAAAAACATTGTCAGTCAGGTACGTTGCGGTAATCAAGTGTTCAATTTATTGTTGTATCTATAAATTAATGTAAACTAATAAATATATACATTTGTATGCAAAAAATTCACTTGCCCGGTCGGACAAGTATGTTGACATTTTCACTTGCCCGAAATGATAATTTACTTGTCCCGGGCATGCAATCGGACAACCGTTAATGTCGATCCCTGGTCTCTAAGTTATATTTACCAGTCTCTAAGTTATATTTACCAATCTCTAAGTAATATTTACCAGTCTCTAAGTTATATTTACCAGCCTCTAAGTTATATTAACCAGTCTCTAAGTTATATTTACCAGTCTCTAAGGTCGCCCGCGTGGCGCAGTGGTTAGAGGGTCTGCTCTAGAGTCGCGGAGTAAGGAGTTGATCCTTACGTCGCGGGTTCGAATCCCACAGGTGGGACGTGGAGACCGGTCCTTCGGATGAGACCGTATAAACCGAGGTCCCGTGTCGCAGTAGGTGCTGGCACGAAAAGATCCCTCACTGCTCAATGGCCGCAAGTGCAGAGTATAGGACAAAATTTGCAGCTCTCCACAGGCAAGTGGTGGCGTCTCCATATGAGTGAAAAATTCTCGAGAGGGACAATAAACAATATACAAACAAACAAACAAAAAACTAGTCTCTAAGTTATATTTACCAGTCTCTAAGTAATATTTACCAGTCTCTAAGTTATATTCACCAGTCTCTAAGTTATATTTACCAGTCTCTAAGTTATTTCTCTAAGTTATATTTACCAGTCTCTAAGTTATATTAACCAGTCTCTAAGTTATATTAACCAGTCTCTAAGTTCTATTTACCAGTCTCTAAGTTGAAGCTGAATTAATGTGCAAAGATCTCTTCTTCCTCCTTTTGATAGAGCAGTGACTAGTACAGGCAAACCCAAATCATCCTTTGTCTTACACATGTTTCGCCAAGAAAGCAAAAACTAAAAAAGGAGAAAAAAATAACTGTTCAACGTATGTTTAGGTTTTCATTTTTACCTAGAACCTAAATAAAATTGATTGCATTTTTTTTTCATTAATTAAAAATAAATAATGTTCTCTACACGGTTTGATTTCTAATGAGACATGACAGAGAGAAAAATATTTCTGTCAAAAAATGAAAGTGCAGCGAAATATTACAAATAAAAGCTATCATACATACATGCCAGATGAGTTCTTCTTGAGAAGGGTTGTTTTCCTTGACCATTCTCTCAATATCTGCATAGTTCCAGCCCATTAATACCGCTACTTTATACCATTCTTCGTCCATCTCTTTACAGGTATCCCGAAGAAATTTATCATCCGTGAAACCTAGAGAAAATTGTGTTGTTAACTGAAAATTTGACTAAGGATTATTTTGTCTAGCTGATCAAAACCTAGGGCTCACTAGGCTGACCGGTCGACAGGGATACTTACTCCTCCTAGGCCTTTGATTCCCTCTGGAATTTCCAGGGGTCCGTGTTTTATGCCCTCTTCACAGATTTGTATTTTTTGTAGGTTTTATGAGATCAGTCACAAGTTTGTTATCTTCATCTTTGTTATAAAATAGTTAACAAGAACTTGCTTCATTTGAAAACGACTCTCAAAGAAATCCATTGAATTGTATGAGTTTTAGATTTCTGATAGCATCCCTTAGAGTCGTCCTTACATTCTTTACAAAAAAAATTTAAGATAAAAATTCTCAGTAACATCATTTGTCGTCAAAATGGTCGGCGTTCAACACTTTTGCTTAAAAAAAAGTATTTGTTATAAGTCAGCCACAAATTTAAATTGCACGTTTTTAAACATTTATGGGATCGTGATATCAAAAGGTATGTTTGATTTTAAAAAAATTGTAGTCATAAGAGGCATAAATATACGATGTCTGAAGGAAGTTCACAGTTCTGCTGGAATTTCAATAGTTTTCAGTACTTCGGATTTATCAAATGCAATGACAAGAATTGTTGACAGTATATCTTCATCATGTTGTTAAAAAATATTTTATATAAGTATCAATCGTGTTTTCTACAACGTTAAACAAAACCCCTTAAAAAGTTCTATAAAGTGATGATGATGTAGATACCATGGTGGTCATTTCATGACAAACTTTTAAAAGACAAAAGTAAGGCATACTCTTGCAACTACATGAAACATAATGAAGCGATGTTTCTTAGTTAAACTCCATGTAAAACATGTCTTCAAAGGAAGGATCCCCCCATTTCTTAGTAAAACTCCATGTATAACATATCTTTGAAGGAAGGATCACTCTGTTTCTTAGCTGAACTCCATGTATAACATACCTTTGAAGGAAGGATCCCCCTTTTCACTCAGGGTAAAATCAAAGCTCTTCTCTTTCATGACTGCGATGGACGTCCTGTTTGTAGGCTCGCTTGGTTCACTTGGTGTCAACAAATTTCTGCTGGGGGTGATCGGTTTAGCAGCTGGTGCCGGTTTAGTGATGTCTTTTGGAGGTTCCAGTGTTGGAGGAGCCTCCTCCTCTTTCTTCTCCTCCTCCTCCTCGTCTTCGGGCTCGTCCTCCTCAGGTTCCTTTGAGAGGTTTATGAGGATGTTTGTGATGCTTTTAGTTTTCCTCTTAGATTCACCGGACTGATCACTATCAGTGATTGGAAGAATTTTATTCACTTGAACCTGTCCCGACACTTTTTTCACCTGTTGCGAAGTTTCAACTGTAAAGCACTGAAAATTTCTCCTCCTTGGATGGAATTGAAATTGAATATCCTCAGAATCACCTAGCAGTTTGAGATTTTTCACAAATAATATGAACTGTTCTCTGGATTTCACTGTGTATGATTGAGACTTTTTAGATCGTTGGTCTTTAAAACCTTCCTTTAACCAGAAATCTCTACAGTCATCAACTCTGTCTATTGGAGCACATTCTATAGCGACCTGAAAAGAATCGGTTTCTTCCAGACGTCTGGACATGGCAAGAAATTTAACAGAATGGTCCATTTTCCGTGCACGCTGAAACAGCGAGTGGACTTGCGGTCTAAGTTTTTCAACCGTTACATCTTTTTTGGTTTCAATTGCAACTTTTCTGTAAGAGAAGTTTAAATATTTTAAACGCATTGTTTCACACAAGTTAAAATGAGAGGAAAAAACAACTTCAAGTTGTTTTTTTAATTTCAAGAGACTTACAGAGAAAATGTCCTGGTATCGAACGAAATAACGTCTTTAGATACATTACACCTCGTATCCAAGAGATTCCAGCTGTTTTCACTTATGTCGTCAATTTCGTACACATTTGAGGTGAACACCTTAATAGTTCCACCAACACCATATTCTTCCGGTAGAGGTAGTTGCATTTGAATTTCCTGTTTTGGACCCACGTGATTTTCAGCTTGTGATCTTACGAAGGGTGTAATTGAGTACACATCCTTCATTTCTGCAGACTCCAAAATACCAGCATCTGGTGGCTCTGTTACCTTTTTTTTTAATTAGAAAAATTAATGAAATTTATTGAATTAAGATATACGTAATTTTTTAAACTTATCATTTTTTACTTTAAAAAAATAGCCTATAGTCTGACTTTTTTCTATTTAAGCCCTGGGATGATACGGAAACACTGACCTGAAGGAATATTTTTGTGGGCTCCTCAAAAGTCCCTTTTGGAAAAACAATTTTAACCTTATCATTGATTTCTGAAGTTATAGTGGTATTATCACTAGATGCTGTGAAAGATTCCTGCTTTGGACGGGTTACAAAAACAAAGGCATTTAGCTCAGGAAGATCGGCGGATACATCACAGAAGTATTTCTGAAAAAAAAAATCCACAAAATATTCATTACTATTGGTGCTCTTTCAAGATTTTATAGCCCCCGGGAAAGGGAAAAAAGACATGTTTTAATAAACATTAGATAAAAGTATACTTTTTTTTAAGAATGAAAGTCTTTTACGAAAATAGTGCACGGTACTAATCGCATCTTCTCGGGCCTTTTCAGCAAGCCCGGAAAAAACATAAGGAATGTATTTACATCAACGGAAGTTAAAATTTTATAAAAAATGGAGTCCTTTCCTATTGGATAGGCAGAGTTGATTGTCCCTTTGTGGTATAATTTAAGTAATATCTTTATTTCAATCAAATTAACCTTCATTCTCTACAGATAAGAGGTCTCCCTAAATTTATTTTAATTTTTATGAGAAGGGGGATGTTTTTTCGCTTGTCGGAAAGGCGCGAGAAGTTGTGATTTGGCACAATATACTTGTCAGTGAACACTTTCATACCTTGTCTTTTTCGAACACTTTGGAAACAATAATATCATGCCCTTGGTTACTTTTCATTGCCACCTCTTCTGACTTTAGGGGTTGTCCATATATTGGAACAGTAAACGTACATAAAGTTTTGCGTCCCTTTCTTTGAACACGATAAGTGATAACGTCACTGATGACCTCTTCTGACGCAGCAAATTGAAATTTGACGTCACAGAAGTCGATAGGTTGTCGTCTGCACATCATTGAGAATTTATCACCAACAGCTCCCGAGGCAAAGTCGATTGTGACATCAAGCCTTTCACAGTAAGTTTTTGCCCCTCCGATTATTTCTACCGTCTGTAGCATCATCTCTCTTTTATGAAGACAAATATAAAAGCACCATAAATGTCTATTCAAGGAATGAAGCTTATTTTAACCTATGTTATACGATATAACATAACTTGGGACAGTTTACGCTTTATAAACCGCGATACCATATCATTGAAATTAGCTGAAATATATCATACCCCATAGAAACATTGAGTGCAGCAGAACTATTCATTGCAAGTAAAGTTCTCATCTCTTTCGACCGACAAAACATGTGTGGCGTCCGTCCTTGCTGTTTAAAGATAAAAATATAGACTCATTCAAAAATAAAGCATGAATGACAAAATTTATTATCCTTTACTTTCAATCAATTTTCAAAAATGACTTGTACTATCCAATGTAGTGAAGAACTATCGAATTTTGCTAATTCTCATTTCACCCTGAACTTAAAATCAAACTCTTGATCATTGGTTACTAACAATTCTGTCTTCAGTGTTTAGGGTACTCATGTGTCTGTTGTGACTATTTAGGTAAAAGTATGACTCTCCCAGACAGACGGACAAATTGATTCCTATATCTTGTGTATATGTCTGCCTTGTTATAAAGCCGATATGTAAAGGAGGAATATATCTTAAGGTTTATGACCAGTATTAAGGTTCATACAAAAAATGTTTGTCATGGGGAAAAACAGCAAAAGTTAGCGAGATGCTTAAAGAAGAGCATGCAGGGTCTAGACCAGGAACAAATGCGTATATTGGGGGGGGGGGGGGGGGGCAAAAATTAAAAGAAATACTCCTAGAAAAACAAAGCTGCTTCCCCATTTTTAGAAGACACCACGGGAAAAAAAATTTGTCAGACGACATGTCAATCTTCTCCCTTCTGAATAGATAAAGAAAATATAAAGCAAATCAGAGAGAGAGAGAGATTAAAATTAATTCAGATGGAAAAAGAAGACAGAGGACAGAGAAAGTATGAAGCTCGAGCTAGTGTGACTTTTGGATTGTTCTTCAGCAATTTGTCGATCGTCAAACGTCAACTTACTCCATGAACAACACACACCATTAACTCTACATCAGTTCTATGAAGAATAAAGCGAAACAACGAATAAGTAAAAATAAGTAAATAAAAATAGAAATAAAATGATTCAACAATAGTGATAAACACTTCAAAACCTGAGACATAGCGTCAGAAAGCGTCAAAAGCTTAGAAAAAGGGATAAACAGAGGGCTTGTTGTTTTCGGTCCTGTTGTCCACAGCACGCAAAGGAAAGAAGAACACTCAAAGAAATATCGTCCGTGGGACATAAATTATGTGGTATGTAGTTAATTAAATATTGATTAAGTTTATTTGGAAAACAATTCACACCGCAGTCTAGTTGTGTTTCATAAAAGAGATATATTATTTCTACGTCGTGATTAACATTAAGATGTGTTTATATATCACTGAACTCTTATTTGTCATACCTAATACAAATTACATGTAACGATAGAGGCGCAGAGGCGATGGCAATTCTGCAACATTACTCACATGTAAACAATATCGTTGCTATAATTTTTTCATTAATTAAGAATCACCATGATCCAATGTAATTAATTTTTAATTTGAATCATTTGACATTCCTTATTCCTTTATTCTTTGTGTGCAATTCTTATCATATCACTACTTATGCTGACATGCCAAAGAATCTTTAAATAATTTCAAAACTATATCTAATCCCTAAAATAATTTCAAACAAAACATAAAGTACCTTATCTTTAATTGTTGTGTCTGCGCCGCTGAAAATAAGGATTTGGACACTTGAGAGAAAGTTCTTTGCAACGGCAAGATGTAGGGCTGTCTGTCCTGTTTTCTGTAATGTTAAAGAAAATTATACATGTTTGACCTGTAGTTTTACTGTCACTAGATTAAAATTTTAATTATTATGACTTTTATTTCATGAATGCAATTATCATCACCAACAGTAGTCCACTTACAACATCTGGGTAATCCAGCAAGGCACCATTTACTGCCAGCATTTCTATGACCTCTACAGCGTTTTTCTTGGCGGCCAAGTGTAGTGCAGTTTGACCATTCTAACAAAATTGGTAAAGCAAGTTTTACAAGGGTTAAAATCATTCTATTTCCATTAATAATAATTTATTGTGAAGTCGTTTACCTTGTCAATTGTATTGGGCTGAGCCCCCTGGGATAGCAGAGTGTCTACGTTGTTTGCATCACCATTGTTTGCACAGTGATGCAAAGCTGTTTTCCCATTCTTAAAAAAAATAATGTTGCAGTATTTAGAGAATAACAATCCTTTAATGTAAATCGATTTGCTGATAGTTTATCTGCAAATGTTCAAGATCATACTTACTTCATCTACAACCGTTAGATCCGCGCCAGGGAATTCCGCCAACAATCGGGTTAGGGTTTCAGCATCGTTCTTCTTTGCCGCTTGTAAAATCTTTAAATATATCAAGAGAGATACACATAGAAAATGTAGAACATATATGAGCTTGATGTTGTCATATCTCTTGCAAGCACGTATATCAAAATCCTGATTTTCATACATTGTTGAAAAAAAATTAATTTTTTTTTCTTGAACAACTAAATAGAAATAAAAATGTTTAAAAAATAAACAAAATTCTTCGTTATTTTAGCAGCAAAAAAATGATAAAAACATCAATCCATACATATACGTGTCCTTTAAAATTCTGAAAATCACGTATTTACTATTTCCTTGTTAAAATAGACCCCCTTCCCTCCGGTTGCGCTTTTGAAAGTAAGGAGCTTTGTGAAAAGTAAAAAGGGAAGGGGGTTAAAACATACTTTGGACTCAAATTTTAATGGATCTTGTATGTTGTCATTCGAAAAGATTCCAAAGAGAATTCCCTCTTTTCCCCGCGAATTACGGCCCTTCGTGCCCTGTTTTCGACCAGATTCATTCCAGGGAAACATTTACATATTATATAGTAGCAACAAACTATACAGTATCTGGAGAGCATGCTGGAAAGAAGTTTTGTAAGGTAAGTTTAAAAACTCTTGCCATTTCAGATATTCTGTTGGAAAACTTATTTTTACACTGCACGGTCATACATGAATGTTAGAAAAAATCAAAGCATACAGCACAAAATAGTAGTATATAACTGCAATTGATTATCATTTCTAAAGAACATTATAAAGTACACAATCCATTATATTACCAATTTTGGAGCCAATGCAAGGCGGTTTGCGTCTTTTGTTGTCTTGTTCTGAATTATCACAATATTGTCTTTATTCTTGTTTTGTTCAAAACATGGCTAAATATGTATTTAAAATTGTGTTTCAACGATTGCTTCAAGATTTGATAAAATTACAGAATATCAGTATCTTTCTCATAAAATGATTATTGAGAAGAGTCCAGCTCTAATACTTACAAAATGTGAAATTGCTATCTCATTCATTATAGAGTTGCAAAATTAGCTTAACTTTTAACAGGTTTCTTATCTGAATGATGCGCAGTCCTTTACCTTCTTTGTGATATCTGCACTGTTTCGTGGGGTCTCTGGTGGTTTGACAGGGGTTCCTCTAGCAGATTCCATATCGAGGTTGAAGCTAGACTGCATGGACAACTGAGACCCCTTAGCCATTGTGGGAATCCTGGAGAGCCCTCCCACAGAAGAACCGGAAACTGAGGAATCCCGCCGAGGACCCATCTTATCATTTTGATTTGATCTTAAATGTAACAGAAAAAAAATGTGTAGGATACTTTTATAAACGTTCAAGATATAATGATATTTTAAAATTAATCTAATTATGTATATATTATGTTTTTATGATCAACTTTTATTGAATGTGAAGTATTTTTATTTCACTAAATTGTCGCCCGCGTGGCGCAGTGGTTAGAGCGTCTGCTCTAGAGTCGCGGAGTAAGGAGTTGATCCTTACGTCGCGGGTTCGAATCCCACTGTGGGACGTGGAGACCGGTCCTTCGGATGAGACCGTATAAACCGAGGTCCCGTGTCGCAGTAGGTGCTGGCACGAAAAAGATCCCTCACTGCTCAATGACCGTAAGTGCCGAGTATAGGACAAAGTTTGCAGCTCTCCACCGGCAAGTGGTGGCGTCTCCATATGAGTGAAAAAATCTCGAGAGGAACGTTAAACAACATACAAACAAATATTTCACTAAATTAAAAAAAAAAAAAAACTTATCCTCCATGAAAAGGACATTATCAATCGTTCAGGCTGTGTTCTGTCTACTCTTGCATTGTTGGTATGTCTTTTTTTGGAGTACAAGTACATATATTAATTTTTTATGCAAGTTTTTTTTTTTAGGATTTCAAAGAAATGCCACTATCATTGTTACATATGAAATGAAGATACACATTTTTTTGTATGATACGTCAGTACAACAAAAAAGAGATAGTCTCAGATAGGCACTAACACACGAGAAAACTTTGAAAAATTCAATTGCACTGCCATAATTGCCTTTTTGAAAATAGAGATGACCTATAAGAACCCATATGCTATGCCTGTTTGCTTTATAGCATTGCTGACAAGAAGATTTTTGAGGAGACAGAGTTAAATGTCCCCCGTTTGTCAATATTAGTATTTGCGTTGTACTACATATTTGCTCTACAAAGAATGTGTTCGTAAAAGTTGTAGATTGTCCTATAGGCTCGTGTAGAAAAAAAAGTTTGAATACAGAGATACTTATATCTAGGGCGATCTTAATTAAATTCTACGTTTAGGTATTTAATTAGTAAAAAAAAATGTTGCAGACACCGATACATAACTTTTCGCAACCTTAACAAGCTTGATATTCCTTATATATACAAAATTGCTGTTAAAAATCAAATGTATCTGTTGTCCCTATTCAATATGTGGATTTCGTATCTCCATTCTAGGATTTATGCAAGCAAAATATAGTAATATAACACGTATTTCTACAAAAACATCTAACCCTTGGGATAGGCATGTCCCTATTCAAATATATGGATTTCGAATCTGCATTCTAGGATTAATTTATTCAATCAAAATATATTAGTATTATACACGTATTTGTACAAACACATCTAACCCTACCGATCATGCAGATTGTGAGAGACATATGAACATACGTTAATAAATAATAATGAAAACCTCATTCTAACATCAAAAAGGGGAAAGGTGGGCAATGTACACTGACAAGATTCCAAGCACATAATGAAATGAATTAGGTAAGTTATTAGAGTTTGTCACATTACCGAGTACGGGTGTAGCACATGTTTGAATTACCCGTGTATGTATTACATTCAAGAAAAGTTTTATGCAAACTTAAGGACATACGCAACGTAGTTTGAACTTTATTGTCTTTTTCCCTGGAGTTGAAGAGTTCCAATACTTAAAGGAACTGTGTGCTACATTTTTATGTCTATATATGCTGTTGTACACTTCTTCTAAAACAAGTTTGGATAAACAAATTATCTAGAATATATGTTTAGTTATTTTTGTGTATTTTTCTTTGAATTATATGAGAATTTTCATCAATTGATATCTTTTCAAAACCCCTGGTAATGCATGCTGATTTTTTGTCTACGAACATCTGATGACACTATAATCTTAAATTAAAAATATCTCGAAAAATTATCAGTAGGTAAGGTACGTTGCGTATGTCCTTAAATTGAACAAATGTCGTTTGTGAATGAAAATAGCTCAAATCATGGTGAATTAGAAAAGCGTTACCTGTTTGCTGTTGGACTGGGGCTAGGGCTTGGAATGGAAATATCGGTCGGACTCGGTGATGTCAACACAGATGATGCTGTGGAATCCTGGGATACATCACTAACAGAGCGCTTCCTGAAATGGTCCTCGATATTAGTATCACTAACCGGTGAGTGTGATTGTTTAATTGACCGTTCCCTCTCTTTAAACCTAGAATTGGCACTATTCGCTTGCAAATACATATCAGTTAATTCACGTTGTCCATTGGGAACATTTGCACACAGTAATTTCAAAATATCTTGTATCCCAATAAATCTTCGTCATGAATTGGCTGCACATTTCGATAAATCATTGAACCACAATTATTATTAGACATCACGGTTTGATTTGCAAGTGGTGAAGTTTGAAAAAAAAATCCTTTAGAGAGATTTAAACTTCCACTGTGACGTCACAATGATATCTCGTAAACATAACATAACCATGCACGACTTGAGTTGACATCTACCAATGAAGGTCATTAAAACCCTAATACTGTAGAAGTGTAATGCATAACTGTTCACCTATATACGCAACGATACAAATTTTAGAATTTTGAAAGTTTAAAAACCACTGTCCATGTCCGTATTTCAAAACATGATCCTAACAGATAACACAAAGAGAAAGAAATGCATTCTTACAAAGTGCTTACTTTTGATGTCATATATGGGATAACATTGAAAATATGCCATTTGTGTAAGAAGAATTATGCAGACTTTAAACTGACATACTAGTAGTACCGAAAAACATCAATGCACATACATATAATAAACTACCATGATTGAATAGCAGAGATTATTTCTTAATTTGATTTTTTGCTCCCTTGCATGACATAAAGGAATCGTTCGTTCTGTTCGTCCAGAAAATCCAAATTCCTCGTTAGTTATATTTTAGTAAACAACTTATATAAATTTCTTATCTTAGATTTGCTTAAGTACTAGTTCATTAAGAAGGACTGCAGATTCAAGAGATAAACCTGGTAATTTGGAAATATACTTTAAATACAATATTAACAAGTAACCGCCACTTTCATTCATTAAGTTCGTGACATAAGTTGTAAAGCGCTTAGAAGGGTCAAAGAAGTCACCAACCACGATTCCATTTCATTTTCGTAATTTAAATACTTAAGTGATGAAAGATTTGTTTTACACATGGAGATTAAAAGAATTATGGTTATACCATATCTAACTTGAAAGGTTTGAACAAAAGAAAATAATTCTCATTTCGTATGCAGTGGTCGTTGAAAACGTCTGGGTATGTAAATATTGATAACAACATGTGAAGCAATTGTCTGAAGTCATGTTTGAAGAAATATAAGACTACTTGATAAATTAACACCCTCGGGATAGTCTGTTTTGGCATGACCTCTATCTGGATTTACTAGAAGCTCCCCTTTGCCGTTACCTGTCATCTTTAGGAGTTGGAGGGTTGCCATTCTGGATCTGTGCTGTACCGTTCTGACTAGCCTTAGAGTATCCTCTTTTCATAGACATTTCTACCAGATCTTCAAATAAAAAAGATAAATATCTTTTTTCAAAATGCGATAAATCTTAAATCTTTATTTTCTTATCAATTTTTTTCTTCATTAAATTTTATTTAATAATGATGTCGAGTAACATTTATTAGTATTATAAGCATCCTTTATTAAACTTCTAAAACGACATTTGATTTATCTAAGCTGCCTTCACGTTTAAAGGGAGACACACGAATTTCGGGTGTATATACGCACCTTCTGTTGCGTGAAAAGATTCAATTCCTTAGCGTTTTATATGGCTTATTAACAGATCGTTTCTGACAATGAAGACTTTTAGTTCGTGTTATGCAGAACGAATAGAACAGCATATGTATCTTTGCTAGAAAATATTGGTGTTTCAAGGGGAGGGAGTTAATCAGTAGTTTAGAAAAGTTAGTAAAACGAGACTATTTTTGGACAAGTTGCTTAATACAAATACCTGTACATGTTTTACACGAATTAGCTTCTAGTAAAGTACTTCCATGATTAAAACTAAATTTGATAAACAGTTGAAGTCAAGCTTAAAAGTCTGGGACATACATGGTTGGTAATGTTCCTACATTAATAAATATGTACACGATAATAATATTAAAAAATGTTTTTGCCCTTCATTCCTTTCATGTCTGAAAATTATCATTTCAAAAATATTACAAGAACCAAGTGGGGATACACATACCCCATTCCTCATAATGAGTTTTTATTTGAACATATTTAACTATGAATCAAACATAAATAAGTAGGCAGGAAGTATTGCCTATATAAGCTTTACAATAAATAGATAGAGCTGATTCTGTAATAGCTGGAAGTAAGAAAATGGGCTAGTTTTTGACGTCAAAAACACCAAAGTGATTTGTTGAAAAGACATAGATTACTACGAGAAGGAAAGTCTTTACGGCACCCATTAACGATTAAAACTATCAACGAAAGATGTTCTATTCGTCCTCTTTTGAGAACTTGATCACAAGCACTGTGAATCCCTAATGGAAAAAAAATACAATCTAAGTCCATATATTTGGCATGAATGGACAGTGAACACTTTCAAATTAGTGTTGTAAATTCTCTATTGATGCTTATATGTCATGAATCATTGATTCAGAGTATATATGTAGGACAAAGTGAAAAAAATAATTTTAAATCCTTCATAGTTTTAAACTTAGACATTTATTTATAATTCAAAAACAAAACAAAAAGTTGATAAACTGTAGAGTCAATATTTTATTAGCCTAATGCTTAGATAAAGGGCTTACGATAATTTCACAAGTGTTCGTATTAAATCTGCTAATATGAATTCTATATATTTTTAAAAGAAATTTTCATATATTTTTTCTCTAGGTATGAAACCTCTATACACAACATCAAAAGTATTTGGCACGGCTTACTTTACAATTTCAAAGGTATTCTACCGTTGTACACGCTTGATTTTGTACTAAGTGGGACATGTATGTGTATCTCAAAGATTAGCTGATTTAAGCCCTACACTGTACATCACTCTGAGCTACAATGTTTATATGTGAATCTGTCTAATGCATACCAATCATTATTTTTTAATTATTAATTCAAATTTGATGTCACTTTTGTGTTCTCACAGTGTAAAACTGGCCATTACAGGTTCTTTTTATTGTCAGTGAATAGTAAGATTGTGATGTCGCACTGTACCGTTGTCTTAAAAAAAGACGGCAATTTGTAACTGTTGTTTTGACCATCCTGTTCCAAGAAAGATCAAAAGAAAAAAAAGAACTAGAAACTTTGCTATAATTGCAAACACCCCAAACTGACTTTCCTCTGTTAAACCCGAAATGACCACAACGTTGCAATATTGGAGATAAAAGCAGACTTAACAAGTACTAAGTTAAAATTCAGTCAAATATCAAACTTTTAGAAATAACCCTTTTGTTATCATGGCAACGAACTTCATCTTAAAAATGTTAGACCTTGGAAACTTGGGGAGTAACGTAAAACATCATTATTTCATATGAAGTAGTATGGCATACATTTAGAGTAAGAAATCAAATTTAAACCAGAGAATCCCCCTTTTGAGGTAGCAGTGATAAAGTTTGTTCAACTGCTACCATTTTTTGCAGAAACCACTTTGCCATGATGCAAGAATTAACTTTTAAGGCTTGACAGTTACTTACCCACGTGATCATTCCTTACAGTTACATGTTTGTTGCAGCAAGTTACATAATTTGCATAAAAGCAATGTTATTTATTATGAAACAAAATGATAATATTGTCAGTGTGTCAGGGATTTTTAGCTACCGATTAAAATGTGAGAAGAGGTCTGAGAACATTTGTTTTTTGGAAGGAAAACGTCTTATTGGGATACCGAATAGATCTCCAAGAGGAAAATTAAAAACTTCAAAACCTTAATGCACATTTGCAGAATACCACCATCTATAATGAAATGCTTAAAATGTGACAAAACGTGTTTTTGATAGAAAAACTTTGATTTTTTTGCCCTTTTGCCTCCAGGTTGAAAATTTTATTTGATGAAACAAGAATATCGGCAGTCTCGTTTAAAATCGTCATTTCGTAATTATATAAGTTCTATGGTCGATACAATGACCTTGTCAGCAAATACAATTTATCATTAAGTCAACTGCTGACTGGCGTTTTTCATACTATTTGTTAGGCCATTATTTACACACTAAATTGTCGACGGATTTTCCATTATTTCCCGTTCATGACAAGGAGCGCACGGTGGGTGTGACCGGCCGGCAGGGGATGCTCACTCCTCCATGGCACCTGATCCCACCTCTGATGTTTTAGAGGTCCGTGTTTGCTCTGCTCCAACATTTGTATTGTTTAATGGACTTTTGAGCTTGAATACTGTTCGTTATCTCCATATCTTTTATTGAACATCTAGAGGACACCATGAATCATCTTCCAAAAAATAATTTGGCTACTGCAAAAAATGTAAAATTAGTCTGGGAACCAGGTTGCTGAAGGGAAACGTCTTTTTTCCACCTCCAGTTGGCACCCAGGCCGATGAAAATGAAAACATCGAAACCTTTATTTGCACATCTACAGGATAAAACCAATCATATTCCAAAATATGATTTACCTACTACTTAATATTTTAGAGAAGTTTTAGGAAGAAGATAATACGGCAGAAGGACAGACAGACCGCCAGGATAACAACAATGTACCCGAACATTCTTTAGAAAATGCAGGTATAAAAACTAACTTTTGTTCTAGCACAGATATTCTACATCATAAATTAATATCAAGATCGAATAACAACTCAAACGATGTTTTCTTTTGCTGTCCACTTTTATAGAGATTTTTGATTCTTTGAAGAAACAGTTAAACTGATTGTTTTACATATGTAACCTTATGTTGTTTGGATATCGGAATGACCCAGGTAAATTTGAGCATGTATTTAATACATGCTCAAATTTACCTGGGTAATTAAGTATGATGTACATGTATGCACAATGCTAAGCAATGCCACGCAATGGTTAGGAAGCAAATGTTTGGTATCTTTTAGTAAATTAATGCCTATCAATTTATTTATCATTAATTTACTAAAAGATTATCAATGATTCATGATTAATTTTTTTGTTTATTTACCATTTTAGGTATTTGCCTGATATGAATAACTTTATAATTTTTAATTGTGATTCTCTGTAACCACTTAAACTTCTTTGCCACGCATGGTCACCGATTTTGATGAAACTTTGCCCATTATTACAACTTGACACCAGAAACATATATAAAATAAAATTTCGTTGCTATGTGTCTT